ACATCCCTAGCCCTCTTTTGTATTTTATTTAGACAGGGTCCCACTGAGTTGCTTAGCATCTCTCTATTGCTGAGGCAGGCTTTGAACTAGTCACCCTCCTGTCTCAGCCTTCCAAGCTGCTGGGATTACTGGTGTGTGCCACCATGCCCAGCTCTTTTTTTTCAATATATATATTTTTAGTTGTAGATGGACACAATACCTTTATTTTCTCTCTTTCCTTATTTTTATGTGGTGCTGAGTATTGATCCCAGTGCCTTCTTGTTCTTTTTAAAAAACATGCTAGGCAAGTGCTCTACCACTGAGCTATCACCCCAGCCCCCTGATATATATTATTAGTTCAAGCTCCTGTAGGCTCTTGATTAAATTATTTAAAATAGCACCACATGCATAGACGTATATCCCCCAAACGGCATACTCTCATTACTCAAACAACTTCTAAAACCTCAACTTTTCCATGAAAAATTTTTATTGTGCTAATTGTTTCAGTTATACCTTGCTTAATTATACCAATGCTTTTGCTTGCTGTTCATCTTTTTATCTACTGAATTCCTATTACTCTTCAAAGTACTTTATTCTCTGTAAAATCTCCCCAGACTATCACAGTATACATTAATTTTTCTTCTACTTGATCTTTTACTATGCTGTCTTTACCTATATTTAACAATTATTAAATTGAGAAGGCTATTTACCATTTTGAACCTTATTTTAAGTTTCTTAAACTCTAAGAGAATAAGACCATTGTCTTACCTACTTTAACCAATTTAGAGGCACTATTATAAAATCATTTGGTTGAAAATAATGACTATTTGAGAGGGGAAAAATGTTCCAAAACAAACTTATTGAAGATGAATAACTTAAAATATCATAAACCTTTTATCATTGTGAATCCATTTTTAATCATATTTGTCTATTTTTTCAGGTTTTATACAAAGTCTCCAAATTTAAAAATTTCAAATTAATTTTAGCCAACTTTACCTGCTCTATGCAGTCTATGAAAATATATTATTGAAATGACCAAAATATCCACTAATGACATTGGTTCAATGAACTACGAAATATAAACAGAATCCTATGCAGCCATTTAAAATGATGCTGCAAAGATCTATTTGTTGCACAAAATTGCTTATGATATACTGTTATGTGGGAACAAAGCAGGCTGAAAAATAGCATTTTACTCAAAATGCTATTTGAAAAAGATATAAAGACACATAAAAAAGGGCTAACCTTATCTGTACAAACCATATTATATGTGTTCATTTATTTAATAGATTCCTACACAATTGTGCTAAATGCTAGGGATGCAAAACCAGATATAATCCTTCTGTCCTCAAGAATGTTATAGAGGACCCAAATCATCAAAGTACCTAGAAATAAATGCAACAACAGTAAATTCAATGAAGGACAACTGCCTGGTGCTATAAGTACACACAAAAGGGAAAATTTAAATAGGAAGATAATGGGAGACTTCCTTAAGGAAGTGTTAAAAAAATGAGTATTTAAGGAAGGGGCTATTCTTGCTTGTCTCTGTGATCTATAAAGAAAATGTAATGCTTTTATAATAAGAAAATATAAAACCAAAGAATCTGAACTTTTTTTCTTTTAACTTTGGGCTTTTTTCTTTTCCCTTTTTTGTTCTTTTGTTTAAAGAACAAAATTTTCAGGAATTTTTAATTTGTAAATAAGTTACCAAGAAAAAATTTCTAATTACCAGATTGCACTTTTCTTGTTCTTTTTTAAAAATATTTTTATTAGTTATTGATGGACCTTTATTTATTTGTTTGTTTATATGCAGTGCTGAGAATCGAACCCAGATCCTCACACTTGTTAGGCAAGCACTCTACCACTGGGCCCCAGCCCCAGCCCCTGTATTTTTCTTGTCCTAATGCACTGAATAAATCATATAAGAGACAGCAGGAGATGATGGATATTATATTATTTCCAATGATTTCTATTTATTTTATAATGCTTCCAACAGAAAAAGGCCTAAATGACTAAAGATCAATTCAAAATTTAAAAAGCAGAAGAAAACTCTAATTCTGAAAAATAGATTAAAATGCTTAAAAGTTGCAAAACTGCTTGAGACTACATTTTCAACTAATCTGTTTCTGTACCTTTTATTAAAAAGCATCTCCCAACACTCTAGGGCATCTTACTAAATTAGAGATAATCTCCAAAAATCAAAGCCTGTAGTAATCAACATATTATGGACCAGATTAATCACATGTAGAGGTTAGTCCACTCTAAGTGCGAATTTATAAATCAATCATGGATAACACAGTTTATCCCAAAGTATATTCTACAGAATACATGGGCTTTTGGTAATTATTACCTGAAAAAAGCTCTGTGTTAAAATAAACTTGAAAAAAATACAAGGTTAAATAAAACTGAACAGTTTTAAGATTTTGTTTAGAATCCTTAATGGTTCAAAATCACTTAACCACAATTCTCAAGTCCATAAAGTTCTGAAATCTAAAATCCTAAAAGTAATTTATATAGCAACAAAATCTTCCCTGACTTGTTATGAGGTTTCTTAATAATATTCATTTCATGTAGTCTATTTATATTTTGTGTGTATGGTACTAGGGATTGAATCCAGGGGTGCTCTACTACTGAGCTACATTCTTTTTATTTTTATTTTGAGATAGGGTCTCATTAAATTGCAGAGGCAGACCTCTAATTTGCAATACTTCCACTTTAGCCTCCTGAGTTGCTGGGATTACAGGTGTATGCCACCGAACCTGGCTATCCATATATTTTTCTGTAGAAATTTTGTGTTTGATTTTATGGGGAGTTACTCAGAGCCCTACTGGGGATGTTATTTAATATACCATATACATCACAATACCCTGTGAAATCTGAAGATTTTTGAATTTCAAAATGAAGTTTTGCAATTCTCAAAATGCACTGTGAACCTGTACTAATACACAATGTGAATATGTACATTTTTCACACCTATGATCGTGGGAGCTCACTTTTTAAAAAGGCTGTGAGAAAGGAAACACTGTATTAGAATATATGTCCTAAACTGACTGCAAAACAGGTCACTATGTCTCAATCAAGGAGTATAGGGCAAACCCTCAGAAAGACAAGTGATCTGAAAATTATGTAAAACAAATGTACTATCATTACTCTTTGAACACTTTATTTAATACTGTTATATTAGTTAAGAGTTACTTAATATCTGATGACAAAAGGGGATAGGACTATGCTCACCCCATACTAACGAGCAAGGGGAACTATTTGTCAGATCCAAATATTTTAGTCACTGAGGGCTTGACTTTCTAAAATTTGCTCTGAGGATAAAATGAAAGTATACAAACAAGTGCATAAGATTCTTCTATTTTATGCACATAAGCCTTCTCTATCCAACCACACAGGCTCAGAGGGGATATATAAGCATTTGCTACATTTGCCTTTTGAGTATTTTCATTCACTTGTCTATAACTGAGCATGAAAAGCCCATAAATTTTCTCTCCCAACACCCTGAACTTTGATTTTAAAGAATGTAACATTTTTATTTGCTTACAATATAAATTTATTTTAACCCATTGTTTAATAAGCATTTTTATGGCCTTTTATAATATGTAGGAGATATCTAGCCTATCTTACACACTGACATAAGTTATAATTGCCTTTGAATACATGAATGGCAGTATAATAAACATTTAACAAAAGATTTTAGGTGACAATGATATTAATAAAACAATACTATAAACTTTTATATTTTTTAAAAATTTCAAAATTTAAAATATTATTTAATGTGTTAGAGACTAATATTTCAAAGTGAACTGGCAAATCAGGTCAAACTAAATTTATAAAAATCTAGTGGATTACTTGTATAATTTAAAAGGCTTATTTTTGAAAGCAACTTTAAAAAACACTAACATTTTATCACCCGTGTTGACATGGAACACTTTGAAATTTTCACTCCAACAAATCAAGCCTATTTTTGGTAATAAATTTTATAGTACTTCTTTCCCAATGATTTTACTATATGCATGTTTTAAGATAACTGAAGTATATTTAATGATTTAAGTAACTGCAGTACAGCACTAACTATAGTAGCCTAACAAAAGCTCACTCACTCATCTGCCAACTCTGTATCAAACTGTTGTCAAATTTTAATTAACTCTGCTACTTAAGAGAAGGAAAAAAAGCCCCTGAAATCCACAAATACTGATGAACCACAAGTCATTTTGGGAAACAATTCTTATTTTTTCCCCAATAAAGCCAACTTTTTATAAAGGTTAATAAAGTTGATCAGATGCTTTTGTCTGTCCTCATGATGAGACATAAAGTGATTCAAAGACAGACAACAGGAGAAACAAAAGCACTGAGTACAGAAACCAACCACTGAAGAATGATTTTTGTTGTTTAAATATGCTGGTGACAAGTATATAGGATATTTAAGTTTGATGAAAGATTTATGAATTCTTTCACATATATTTAATGCCTTATTGATATAATTTCCTTCTTATAGTTCATATTTTTGGTGTATTTTTTATATACCAAAAAACAGATGCTGAAAACTGTATATGGGAAAAAACAGACTCAGAAAGATCATCTGGCTACCCTAGTTTGTTAGTTGTTATGAATCTGAGTCCTGGGAATGATATCTTCTGATAGCAGTGTTTTTCCTACTACATTTATACTGCCCTTAACCTAGGAAAAACCCCCAAACATTTACCATAAGCAATGGGAAGCACTGCAGAGAAACTGATGAAAATTTAAAAGTAAAAATATGAAGTCCAAATGTGTTCAAATTCAAAGTGAAATTAAAATGTACTATATCAATTTTTTTTTGTTAGCGCATAAAAATCTTTTCTAAGACTCTGGGTTTTCTAATCATGGAAAATAAAACAACAACAACAACAACAAAACTTGACCTTCACACAAATACAAATGTGCATTTCATTCTGCAAAGCAGAGCTTCCATGATGTGTACTGAAAGAACTGGAATTACACTTAAATGCAATTCTTACCCATCTGTGTTAGCTTACCAGATTTGTGCTTCTTATGTTTTGCTTTCTTTTTGATGATGAATAGCTTATTCTGGATCTCAGGTTTATAAGACTTGAATGCAAGAGAATGAAGACCTTCACGCTTTCTCTGTAAATTTTCATTCAAAACGTCTTTCAATTTCTTTTTTTTCTTTTTCTTCTTTTTTGCCCTCATTTTAGTTAGTTTGAGTTTCTTGTGGCTCTGCAGTGACTGCTCTAATAAAATATCCCTTACAACCTTATGGCAGTTAATTTCTGGATGATCGATGTGACTTCCATTTATGTGTATTTGGCAAGATTTTAGAGCATTTTCTTTCAATGGAGTGGGTTCAGTCTTTATTTTGGAAGTTTCACCATATTTTTCCTGATTTTCTATAAATCTTATTTCACCTGGACTAAGTGGCTCTCCAAAGCCAGTAACTTCCCCTGGACTCCCTGGTTTTTCCAGATTTTCTTTATAACAATCAGTCTTTTTAATTTCACAGGGCCTGTGAATTCTCATTTCACAGTTGGACTTTACTTCCATTTCAACAGAGATGTCATGATTATCAAAGTTCATTTTAGCAGGGCAGCAAGCTAGATCAAAATTAATTTCCTGCTCTTTCTTGAAGGTAGAAGGCAGGCCTTCTCTACCACACTTATGTTCTCCATTACTTGTACTAACATAGTCACACTTGAATTTCTCCAGTTTAATCCGAGGTACTCTTTGTATTTTAATGGGTGGAACTGGAAATTCTGGGGCCTGAAAAGGTCTCTGTTTATAAATCCGTACATCTGCACCACAGAACTGTGGAAAATGTACATAAGCATTCTCCAAATAATCATAACCAAGGATAACTTCTCTGCATTCATGTATAGGCTGTCCAAGCACAGCATCTTGAACTTCTTTTTGTGTTTCATAAACAAAGTCACAAAGACCCTTAAGTAACCACACTTTTTGGTAGAAAGGTAGTTCGTGAAAAGGTTTTTCTTCCAATGGATTAACTTCTCCAAGAACTTTAAAAAACTGAGGACACAACCCAAGTTTTTCAGCACAGTTATCAGGATTTTCAGTCTGTCCTACAGCAGTGTACCACTGCTGCACTTTCTGTCTCAGTGCTGCTTCCCAGGCCCTATAAGGCAAAGTAGGTCTTCGATGTAAGGTAGGTCTACGATGGGGAGGACTTAATAGAGAAGTCATTATTTTTGATAGAAAAGCATTACACTGAGGCATCAGAAGGCAACGTTCCAATTCATAAAAGACTATTTCGGGCAAATTTAGAATTTGCTGGGCTAAACACAGGAAATGCCCAATGGCTGGAATTTCCCACATGTTCTCCATAGAAGTTGGTGCTGCTTGAGCTAGAAGTTTTCTTTCCCATTCTTCTATTTCCTTTTGACAAGCTTCTTCTGCTTCTTTTTTTTCCTGCTCCCGAAGCCTAAAGGAAAATTCAACAAATTATACTGTTACTTAAAGTAGAAAGTAATATGAAACATTAAATTTAAATTAGGTTATAATTTATCTTTAAATATTATATCTACCAATATTATATATAGGGAAAAAATAAAATTAATTATTAAGAAACTACAATAAAATTTGGGAAAAAAGGCTATAAACTATGTAGTCTTAAAAACTGAAATTATGAATATTACATATAAACAGAATATGTCAGAACACAACAAAGCATCTACTTAACAAATAACAGTAATAATGAAAATAAGCAAACATTGATCAAGGAGACAACGGTATTGAAAAAACAAATAACTTTTTAGATAACGAGATTATGAATGATGTTTTTCCTTTAGAAGTTTCTTTACTGGCACTTCTAATATTACATATAAACAGAATATGTCAGAACACAACAAAGCATCTACTTAACAAATAACAGTAATAATGAAAATAAGCAAACATTGATCAAGGAGACAACGGTATTGAAAAAACAAATAACTTTTTAGATAACGAGATTATGAATGATGTTTTTCCTTTAGAAGTTTCTTTACTGGCACTTCTATAAAACCTTAATTTAAAAAAGTAAGCTAGATGAAAATATAAGTATATATTTTTATGATCTTAGATTAGGCAATATTTCTTAAATATAACACCCAAACATAAGCAAGAGAAAAAAAAAGTACCTAAATCGGACATCATCAAAACTAGAAACTTCTACTTTTAAAAGATAACATTAAGAAAGTAAAAAAGACAACCGACAGACTGAAGAAAATTTTGTAGATCATATATCTAATAACAGACTTATTTGTAGAAGGAGAAATAGCCCAATTTAAAAATGTGTAAAAGAAACTATGTAGACATTTCTACAAAAACATAAAAATGATCAAGCACAAAAAATGATGCTTTCAACATTGCTATTCATTAGAGAAATGCAAATCAAAACCACAATGAAACATCACTCTATATCCACTAGGATGGCTGTTAGAAAAAATATAACAAGTATTGGTGAAGAAGTTGAAAAACTGAAGACCTCATACACTATATATGGAATAGGTGTTTTGAAAAACTGTGTAGTTCTCCAGAACCTTAAACATATATTTATCATGTGATCTAGCAACTCTACTGGTACAGGTATACAACCAAGAAAAATGGAAACATCTGTCCACTAAGAAACTTGTACATGGTGCTCCATCCTGTACAACCAGAGAAATGAAAAGTTGTGTGGCAATTGTGTACAATGAATCAAAATGAATTCTGCTGTCATATATACCTAATTAAAATAAATTAATAAAAAATTGTATATRGATATTCACAGTAGTATTCTTCTTTTTCTTTTAATATTTGTTTAGTTGTCTATGGACATTTGTTTTATTTTTTTATATATGATGCTGAGAATCAAACCCAGTGCCTCACACATGCTAGGCAAGCACTCTACCACTGAGCTACAAAACCAGCCCCTCACAGTAGTATAATTCTTAATAGCCAAAAAAGTGGAAACAAATCAATATCTGACATTTCTTATACTATTAAGACAAATACATAGTAAAAACACTGCTTTAGCAAATATTGAGAATTTCTCTCTTATAGAACAAGCCAACTTTTGTGGTTTTGGTCAGGAGGTCATATTATAACTACTTTGCTATTAGATACAAGGGGCAGCCTTATTTCATTACCTAAGATTAATAAGGAAACTTTTAGCAGTGACTTTGATATATAAACAATGCTAAACATTCCTAATAAAATTTGACTTTTAAAAAATCTGCTTTCAACTTTGAAAAATTTTACTTTTTACTAATGGGAGCAGTAAGAGACTGGTAGAATTTGGCTTCTCTCATACACAGCTGGGATTCTAAAAGCCCATACACTCAGTAGATGGTTTTATTAGAAACAATGTTCCTTCCTCCTATCCTCAACTAGGGAACTATAAGGAAAATTGTGTCTACAATAGAAGTGTTGAGTGAGAAACTAAAAAGAACTTCTAGAAAAAATTTAAAAATTATAAGAAAAAAGAGAACAGATTTACAGTTAACTCCTAAATAACAAATAGTGGAAGCTACCACACAATGGAGTACCTTTAATATAATTAGAAAATACTGTCAAGATAAATTTCCTTTCAGAGCAAAAAATCTTCTAAATTTTTTTTTGTAGTTGTAAATGGATAGAATACCTTTATTTTATTTGTTTATTTTTCGTGGTGCTGAGGATCAAACCCAGTGCCTCATGCATGCTAAGCAAGCGCTCTGACGATGAGCTACAGCCCCAGCCCCAGAGCAAAAACATCTTTAAAAAATAAAGATAAAAATATCTTCAGACAAAAAATTAATATTTATAACTAAAAGACCCCTTATGTAAGAAATTCTAAAGGATCTAGTTCTAGGGAAGGACACGATCTCTGACTAAAGAGCAAAGACGGGAAGAGAAAAAAAGCTGTAATATATGTTAAACTACATAGACACATCATTAAATAATGATAAAAATGTTCAGTTTAAAAAACATTATAACAACAGCAAACCAATGGATGAGAAATGATTAAAGTTGAAAGCATTTCAAGGTCCTTCTATTAATCAGGAAAACCTAAAAATATTGATTTCAGACTTTCATAAGTTAATAATGAACGTGAATATTTCTAGGGTAGCTACTAAAACAAAAGACTTAAGGATATACTCAAATTAGTAGAGATGGGGACATGGAAAAAATAAAAAAGGTAGTGGGAAGAGAAAAAATATAGGACAAATGAAAAGAAAAAGATAAAGCAGTAATCTTTTAAAATAATGACAAGGATACAATAATAAGAAGCAGGGGTAGGAATGTGGTTCAGTGGTTAAGTGCCCCTGGGTTCAATCCCCAGTACCTGCCCCCAAAATATAAATAAATGTTTTTTTTAAATAGGTCATACAGATTTTATTAAGATATTTTATTAAGATATTTATGAAAACCTTATGCCAAGAGACAATTTTTTAAATATTTTTTATTTGTAGATGGACACAATATCTTTATTTTATTTTATTTTTATTATTATTATTTTTTAATGTGGTGCTGGATCAAACCCAGTGCCTCATGCATGCTAGGCAAGCACTCTACCACTGAGCCACAACCCCGGCCCCCCAAGAGACAATTTAAATGGATAATGTTTTTGAAAAACATGAACTAACAAAATTAATATAAGAATGAAAATCTGAATAATCTTATATCTAATTAAAAATTACATAATTAAAAATATTCTTAACATAGAAAAATTGAGGTCATCAAGACTTCACTGCAAAATTCCAATTTCAGTTAATGAAATTATTAGAAACAAAATATAATATAAATAATATTTTAAAAAGCAAAAATAGGGAAATATGAATCAAGAAATCACCAGAATGGTCTAGGTAGATCCTAAAAAGAACTCAGAGAAATAAATGTAATCACAAAAACAAAAAAACCCAATTGGATGATTAAGTAGCTAATGTACACAGGAAAAGGTTGAGTTAAAAAATTTTCCAAAAATTCAGTGCAAAAAAGACAAAAATATGGGACATAAAGAAGAAATATTAAAATCAAAACAGATTAAAATCTAACAATCAATTGGAGCACTAGAAAATAAGAATAMAGAAGAGCGGTAGGAGGATACTGATGATGGCAATATTTGAAGAGAGAATGGCTGAGAACTTTCCAGAACTAATGGATACAAATCCTTGATTCAAGAAGTCCCCCAAAATAAATTAATTAAGAATGCCATAGCCAGGCACAGTGGCACACACCTGTAATCCCAGCAGCTCGGGAGGGTGAGGCAGGAGGATCACGAGTTCAAAGCCAGCCTCAGCAAAAGCAAGGTGCTAAGCAACTCAGTGAGACTCTGTCTCTAAATAAAATACAAAAAAGGGCTGGGGATGTGGTTCCATGATTAAGTGCCCCTGAGTTCAATGCCTGTATCAAAAAAAAAAAAAGTCACATTTGGGCCCCATGATAATAAAACATCAGACAAAAAGAAAATCTTATAAGCCCGAAAGGAATAATAGACAAATTATATACCACACATTACAGACAAAACTGAGAGACTACCAATAGCATCAAAATAAATCAGAAATATTAGAAGAGTATCTTTAAATGTTGTGTTAATATCATTATCAAACTAGAATTGTATAATCAGCTAAAGTATCGTTCATGGGTCAGGGTAATTTAAAGACATTTATTTCCAAAATGCACACTCATACATTGAATTGCTGGTGGGACTGCAAACCGGTTCAACCACTCTGAAAAGCAGTATGGAGATTCCTCAGAAAACTTGGAATGGAACCACCCTTTGATCCGGTTATCCTACTCTTTGGTATATACCCAAAGGACTTAAAATCAGCATACTACAGTGACACAGCCACATCAATGTTTATAGCTGCTCAATTCACAATAGCTAAGCCATGGAACCAACCTAGATGCTCTTCAACAGATGAATGAATAAAGAAAATGTGGTGTATATACACAATGGAGTATTACTCAGCCATAAAAATGAATGAATTATGGCATTTGCCAGTAAATGGTTAGAACTAGAGACTATCATGCTAAATGAAATAAACCAATCCCCCAAAACAAAGGCTAAATGTTCTCTCAGATATGGGGATGCTAACACATAGTAGGGAGCAGAAACAACAGAAGTTCATTGGATTAGACAAAGGAGAATGAAGGGAAGTGGGGATGGAAATAGGAAAGACAGTAGAATGCATTGGATATAACTTTCCTATATTCATATATTGAGCCATGACCAGTGGCTCCACATCATGTTCTACTTCAAGAATGAGATTCTAATTAGAATAATCTATACTCCATGTATAATGTCAAAATACATCATACTGTCTAATGTCAAAATATATCCTGCTGTCATGTATATCTAAAAAAATACAAAAAAATTCCCAAATACAACAAAATAACTTCTACAGTGTCTTCTGCTTCTACCCAAGATCAAATCAAATTTGTTCTCTCTTGAAACAAAACAACAAAACCCCAAAACAACAA